CAGGATCCTTGCCTAGCATGCATGAGTCCCTAACCTCAGTTCCCAGCACAATTAAAAGAAGCAGAAAAGAACGGTCAAGAGCAATAGATGCACTGTCAACAGGTCAAAAAAGGGCTGAGGAGATAGCTCAGTGGTCTAAGTGCCTGCTTGGCAAGTGCAAGGACCCAGGTTCAATCCCCAGTACCACATGCTGCACCGCCCATGTTAGCAACCAAAACCGGCAGAGTGGCACATGCCTGTAATCCTAGCGCTGGGGAAACTCAAACAGGAGGATCACTACAAGTCTGAGTCCAAGCTGCGTAGTAAGACCTTGTACAACACAAATAAATAAACAAATAAAAGAATTACAACAGATTTCTTAACACAAACCTTAAAAGCAAGGAGGGCATGAAATTAAGTGTTTCAAATTCTTAAAGAAACTAACTTTCAGCCTGGGTATGGGCACACTTATAATCCCAGTACTCAGGAGGCTAAGGCAGGAGGACTGCTATGAATTGGAGGCCAGCCTGGGTTACACAGTGATTTCAAGTCCCTCCTGAACTGCCTAGTGAAACCTATGTCAAAAAGATGAGAGAAAGAAAAACGAAAGAAAAAGAACTCCTAACCCAGACTGTTACAGCCTACAAAATTATCTTTCAAAATTGGTGGAAAAATAAGGTACATCCATGACAAAGAAAACCTAAAGAAGTCTATGACCATTAAATCAACACTCCACAAAATTCCCAAGAATATTCTAGGGCACAATGAAGCAATAATGCCAAAATGTCTAATAAAATGAATACACCAAGTAGGACTAGTAATCAAGCAGAAAGGAAAGCAAAACAGCAACAGAAAATACAATGATGAATAAAGTAGTATCTATCAATTATAATTATCAGAGTAAATGGGCTCAACTTTTCAATCAAAAGACAAATAAATGGAATGGATCAAGAAACAAAATCTAAACCAGGCATGGTGGTGCATACCTGTAATCCCAGCACTTGAGAGGCTGAGGCAGGAGGATAGTTGCAAGTTCTAGACTATCCTGAGCTCCAGGCCGGCCTGAACTCCATAGCAAAACTCTGTCTCAACAAACAAACAAACAAAATCCAATGTATGTTATATACAACAAACCCATTTAACATACAAAGAAATGCACAGCCTAAAAATCAAAGGCTGGAAAGCAATAATCTACACAAGGGGAACAAGTAAGAATGGCTATGAAATTTTCAGACAAAGTGGATTTCAAGCCAAAGCTGATCAAAGAAGGCAAGGGACATTACATACTGCTTAATGGAACTATTCAACAGGCAGACATCATAATTGAAAACATGCTTACCAAAACACAGTGCACACAATCAAACTAACGGACTTATATGATCCAATAAACATCAATACAACTACAATGAGGGATCTCAATTCCCTACTGTCACAAATAGATGAGCTATGCTAGGTGTGGTCGTGCACACCTGTAATTCCACACTTGGCAGGCTGAGGTAGGAAGACTGCCCTGATTTTGAGGCCAGCCTGGGCTACAGAGCAAGACCCTGTCTCAAACAAAACAGAATAATCAACTAAACAAAAAAAAAAAAAATCAAAATTGGATATTCACAAGCAGAAGATTAAGTCTAGACCTGCTTTAATTGCTGAGCTATCTGGCTGGCCCTCATCTACTTATTTTTATAAGAACCTTTTTTATGTTTGAGTAACTACTTTCAAGATAAGGATACTCAGTGAAACTACTGTTATTCTCATATTGTTATGGAAATGCTTCATTTTTCAATAAATAAAAAGGAAAAACAATGGCAGCCACCGACCTTCATGCTCATGGCTGCCCGCTGGTCTTGCAGTTCCCCACCCTGCATGTGGGGCATTATCTTCACTTTTCTTACTACTTTTGGCATTTCAATTTTTCTTCACTTCTTTTTTTGGGGGTGGGGTGGGGTTGTTTTCTTTTGTTTTTTGAGAGAGGGCCTCACTTTGTAATTTTGGCTGACCTTGGACTCTGCGATCTTCCTGCCTCAGCTTCTCAGGTGAGGGATTATAGTCATGCACCACCATGCCCAGCCCAGCCACCATCTTCTACTTCTACATTTTTTTTTTTTTATTTTTTTATTTTAGGGAAGGGTCTACAGGGTGTTCAGGGTCTCACTACTAGATTGGACTCACAGTGATCTGCCTGTTTACAGCCTCCCAAGAGCTGGGATTACAGGCAAGCACCACCACACCCAGTCTCAACTGCTATCTCAGCGTGCCTGGGGGCAAGACCAGCATGGCAGGCCCGGGGATCAAACCAAAGCCCCTGCGCCTGCTTGCAGGTACTATAATCCACTGAGCTATTTGGCCAGCCCTACTTTTACTTTAAATAAATACTGCACTTTCAAGTTAAAAAAAAAAAAAAAAAAAACTGAAGCCAGCCTGGGCAACTTATTAAACTCCTGACAAAATTTAAAAGGGGTAGAGGTATACTTCAGTGATATAGTGCTTGCCTAGCATGCACTAGCCCCTGGGTTCAATACCCAGTATCCCCCCCAAAAAAGAAATACAATTGGCATTAACACACACAGAAAACCAACAACAGAACTTTCACAAACTAATTGCCCTTACCACATGATAGTCAAATGTCACCATTATTTAAATACATTAAGATTCCAAGATAAATATAGAAATTAAAATTAGAAATAATTTAACTTAATGAAACAGGGAATCTTTCCAAATCATAAATTAATTCCAGTCTGGAAATCACAATGAAAATCCTACATGCGTCTCAGGTTCACTTAGGAGTATGTTTTATTCTTTTCCTTTTAATTAGGTCCAGACTGAAAGTCCTAGCTGAAACAACTGAATTGCTGTGAATGGTAAAAACAGCTCTGCATTCTACCTAGCAAAAGAAATTGTTAATCTTACTACATAACAAACAATATCATATAATCATTCTTCAGAGCAAACGAACTAAGCTGCAAGAATTCACTGTCTTCTCAGTTGTGCTCCAAATTTTCTGATCAAGATTATGTAGCCGCAGAGAAATGTGTTCGATGATCTAAAGCGAGCCTGGGGAGAGTCACATGGAGAGAAAAAACATTTTCTCAAGCTTTCACAGAGAGCAAATTGGTCAAGCAATGGCTGTGACTCATCCTCATGTCAGACACTGACAAAAGGATGTACAAAAGGCAGTACAGGGCTACAGGATAAATCCTGAGAGTACTTGGCTGATCTTACCAGATACAAAAGTTACATTTCTTGTTATATAGGTCTTGCTATATCTTGGTCTTAACCATCCAGCAGAAAAGTATAAAAACGAGGTATATAAAGTAAATCCATATTAATACGATGAGCTGTAAAAGGCTCAAGTCAATAATTTCTGAGGATAACCCACTAATATTATAGACTGCGAGACAGTGTTAGATTGTTTAGTTGAATTCAAACACCTATAGAATTTAGATGCCAATAGAATATTCTCCTCTCACAGGACCAAAAAAAAAAAGGATACAAAGGAAAGATCATTTTGTATTTATATATACAAAATAGGATAAATTTACAGCTACTTTTGCTTAATTCAAAGAGAAGAAAGAGGTGTACTAACAGTGTTTGGACAGAATATCCTGTCTGCTTCTTGTACTATGGATAACCACTAAGAAGATAACAATGTACAGTGTACTGACTATCAAAACTGTCCTATTAATCAGCTGTGAAACTGTCTCATTCATATTTATTTCTCAATAAAAAAATAAATATTAAAAAAAGAATTCATTGTCTTCTTGGAATATACTTAAAAATCAATTATTGGAGGGAGGCAAATGAATCTTTCAATGTTCCATTCAAAGTTTTCACCTTCTCTGGAGAGAAATAATGAAAACTTTTGTGACAGAAAAAAAGAGGAGTAATAACTCTGCCTCTTATTTTATTCAATCTTTCTTCACTGAATATACTGTTCCAGAGCTGCATTAACAACGTTTAAATGTTACAGTGGTTAGACAGAGATACAGAAGCCATAAATGTCCTATTGGGACTTTTCTCTAGATTGCCAAAAACTCCCATTGAAAGTGTTGTGGTACACACCAGTAACCCTGGCACTTGGGAGGCTGAGGCGGGAGGATCACTGTGAATACTCTGCTTCTAAAAGGGGCTTGCCAACTAAATTTTATTCGTTTCTGGGTTGCTCCCCTCTCCAGGTTTTTCTCCTTTCAGACAAAGAAATGAACAAACTGAGCAAAAGAACAGGGACAAAGTTTATTTGAGAAAAAGTGAAGTGTGAGGAAGAAACGGACTCTGCAGAGTAAGGCTGGGCTCAGTAAAAGAGGAAAAAGCAAGATGAAAAAAACCTCTGGAGACAGCAGAGAGAGCCACCAGGAGGAAAGCCACGCCTGCAAGTTCTTCCTAAGGCACCTACTGCTCTCTCCTTCATGCTGTCCAAATCTTGCAGAAAGCCCCAGAACTTCCACATAGGGGGCCTGCAAGGTGGAGCTGAGGTCAGGTCTGGGCCAGCCTGTCAGAACCTGAGCACTCCTGAGAAAGGCTACATGCAGGGCTTTGGGAGCTGCTCCGGGCAGGCCTTCCAGGTCCTTGTAATTAATAGGTCAGGCCTCCTCCCCCAGCCAGCTCTGCCACACCCTACTCTCCTATCTCAAAATCCTGTCTCAGAAAAAAAAAAAAAACAGGTTTGGGGATGTAGCTGTGAAATGTCTTAAATTCGTGTGTGTATGTGTGTGTGTGTGTGTGTGTGTGTGTGTGTGTGTGTGTGTCTGTCTGTCTGTGTGTGTCTGTCTGTCTGTCTGTGTGTCTGTGTGTGTGTGGTGGGCTTCTTTAAAAAACTGAGACTGAAGATCCCGCCCCACGGGCCCTCCACCCCCCAGACACTCTGCTCCCTCACCCCCCCACCCCAGACCCCGTCAGTCTGTGGGAGCCAGACTGTCCAGGGAAGCAACCCCTCTTTTCTTCATGCTCAGCAACAAAGCGACACCAGCACTCTACTTCATCCCAGTCCCTCCTTTTGTAACTAAATGAAAAGAAAAACTGCCAACATTGGGATTTGGCTGGAGCTCCTCCCTTGGGCCATGACTTTTAACCACATAATAAGGTACAGCAAAAACTGTTGCTGTCCTAGGACTCTGTGCGGCCGTGTGATTTCTGAACATTTGCAATTAGAAATACTAAAAATTTATTTAGTTATTTAAAAAAATTGAAGGCCAAGCATGGTGCCACAGGCCTGTAATCCCAACTCTCAGGAGGCTGAGGCAGGAGGATTGCTACAAATTCGAGGCCAGCCTGGTCTACACAGTAAATTCAAGGCCAGCCTGAGCTACACAAGACCCTGTCTCAAACAAAAACAGTGAGGGGGACTGAGATGTTGCTCAGTGTGTATCACCTGCCTGGCATGTTTCCGGGCCTGAGCTCCAGGATCAGCACCTCAAAAAAGAATAAACCAACAGGCAAATTGGTAGCATATACCTATAATTCCTGCTACCTGGAAGGCTGAGGCACAAGGTTAGGTAAATTTGAGCCCAACAGGATAATTTAGACCCTCTCTCAAAAGGATAAGGATATAGCTTGGCAGTAGAGCACTTCCCTAGTATGTTCAAGAGAAAGTCCAGCACGCTCAAGTTCCAATAATCCTTTTACTTTTATTTATTATTTTAGTTTTGAGACAGAATCTCACTATGTAGTTCCAGCTGGCCTCGCACTCAGTATGTAGCCCAGGTTGGTCTTGAACTTGTGACCCTCCGGCCTCAGCCTCCCAAGTGCTAAAACTACAGGCATGCATCACCAAGTCCAGCTTTAAATGTCTAAGTCTTTGGGCTAGGGATATAGCTCAGCAGGTATAAGTGCCTGCCTGGCAAGTGCAAGGTCCTAAGTTCGATCCCTGGTACAAAAAACAAAACAAAGAAAGACTTCTAGCTTTCATTTGCAACACTTTCACCAATACATAAAGGCTGACATTTTACTCAGGTTTTGCCTACTTCATGAAAGTATTATTTTAAATAATCTTCATTAAAAGCATAATTTTTTGCAAGTTAACAATGTCATCAATACTTTTATAATTCCAGTTCCAGCCATTAAACATAAACTTTGTACTTTTTACTCC